TGGCGTGTATTGGTTCATGGTAAAAATCTGCTTGGACTGACGGTTCAAACGCGGTATGTCATTAAGCGATGTGACATCTCTGTCAAAAGTTATGGCGTTGCCAGATGGGTCCGTCGAATATAGGCAACCCAGTACTAATATTCAGGCAACTTGATAGGAAAATATGGCATGACCCCCACAATAAATAAAATCAGGCATTTGATTTTGTAAGGGCTGTACCAAAAGCTGGTCCTATTTTTATATTTTTTTATAAATAGCGTTTCTAGGTAATAAGAAATCTAAATGTCAACATTTGACGAAATTAAATCGGAGTTATCGTTACAAGGTGACTCATACAAATAGTGTTCCGATATGACCTATATTCCAATGATGCGGGATATAATTCAAAGATCTCCAAGCTTTATCCAATAATTGCGAAAATATCTTAAACTTTAGATGTCCCTTTGTATGTGGTCAGAGCTAGCATTTGGGCAATGAATCCAGAACTCCTTTGGGGTTTTGATATAAGAACAAGTCCTACCGAGACTACCGAGCATTTTTCACAATCCAGACTGAAATAACTAGGATTTTTATTAATTTAAATTTCATATCAGTTGTTATGGTACATATTTAAGTGTAAAGAAATTCCAAAAATTTAAAGCATAAAGGGAACATTTTACTCGACTTGGATAAGTGTTAAATAAATAGCATAAAATTCACTTTTAATACAAAAATTTCGAATGTAATTTTCATAAATTGATATATGATTTATTCTGAGATTTATAGTCAAATTTTGCGTAAAATATTTCTTCTTTTGACACCTTTCACCTAAAACGTAATTTTATGAAACTTTCAGCCGTCAAATCGAGAAAAGTCCGAGGAAAAATTGACCGAAGAAAATATGGAATAATTTCAAGTTTTTGGGAACATTGATGCAAATATTTTTGGATTTTGATGCTAACATTTTGGAGTGGAAATAGAGTTTTCTTTTTTGTTAGTGACTTATAGAATTTTGTTTCCCTGACGCTATTATTCTACAATGATGCTTTGTTGAGGATTTTTGCACAAAATCACACAAAGTACGGTTGTAGCCCTAAAATGTGATGTTTAAATTGTATTGAATTGCTGAAGTTTAGTTAGGATTTGGGCTCTGGATGTCTTCCAGGATCTATAGAAGAATTCTACGACAAATCATTTTTTGAAATATTTTGACGTGCTACGATCCCTTTTAAGGGAGTTTTTTTTTGCCATATTTTAGAAAAAGCACCTAGAAGACCCCTTTATTGACTCTCTCGAGGGTTAACATTTTCGAACAAGCTATTCCTCGTATTTTTATCTGCAATATTGCCGAATACACTATGTACCTACAATGCACAGATATCGAAGAATCTTCAATCGAAAATTTCCAAAAAAAGTGAAAAAGGGGGGAACTAGCTCGGGGGCTAAAATTTTCGGCTAAAATATACCTTGTATTTTGATCTGCAATTTTGCCGAAGATATTTCAAGTGCACGAATTTAGAGCAATCTTAATCTAAAAATTTCCAATGTTGTGGAAGAGGGGAGAAACTTGCCCCTCTATGTTACTTACTGTGATGTAAACTTTCAAAACGCCGATCCACCTGCCTTCTTTTTTAGATCTACTTCTATAATCTGCTGGATTTTCCCCTTAATTGTAGAAAATTTTGAAATTTGTCGCACAGTGTAATTCTCATTTACAGGATATAGGATAAAGCTGAATATCTATAAAGAATATTCTCGTTTTCCTAGAGTATACCGATTTTAACAGACCTCCATGGATTGAAATCTTGGATTCATTATGAGGTCCTTAATTCTGCTATGTGAGGCTTATTGAGTTTCCGGATCTTTCAGTTCTTTATACGCCCCTAACTACAAATCCGCAATGAATTTTACTTTTTCGCCAAAAATGTTCTTGGTGATGTACTCAAAAGTGAATACAATAGTTTTTGGTTATTTTTCTGTCGATATGACAAATATAGCATTTCATTGAATTCATATTTGTATATTGTAGTAATATCCTTTCTAATATCAAATATATTTTTTTCTCTCTAATCGATTTCTTTATCCTTTTCTTGGGGAAATTTTGAAATATTTCGTTTATTGCATTTTTTGTAGGTTAACTTTCTTTACACTTGACTTCACACAATTTTTGTCCTGTTTTCCATTTTTTTCTGCATGGAAATGATGAAATGAATATGTCCTTTCGCCAGTACCGAACGTATCTCTTTACCAACTTTGTTGTTGTTGCTGTTGTTCTCGTTGTTTGGCTTTGTATGTTTTTTTTTTTTAACGTGAACATGCATTTTGTGCACCAGAATTATGGCCTCAAGTATTTTATGCATTATTTACATAAGTATATGTGGGTGTGTGGGTGGGGGTGGGGGTTTTGGTGTATGCATAGTACGTAAATATGACAAAAGTAGAATGAAAACCTCTTCAAACATCAAAGGCATCCTTGTTGTTATCCTTTTGTGTTCTTTGACTACTCTGCACAAACAAAGTTCTACTGGTTGCTTCCAAGCTTGCTCTGGCTGGCATTCCTGTGCAAGCGACTAAAGTCGAGTAGTGGAACTTTTGTACATTTCATAGTGGTGGTGGCAGAACACACTCTGTTGTTCCAGTCTGTCAGTCAGTCAGTCAGCCAGCCAGCCAGTGTTCTGTTGATTCGTTTGTTCATTTTCGCAGTGGTTTGAAATTCAAAAATGTATGACCCAAAAGAGGATATGAATTTTTATATTGCATGTTGAACATGACTAGCAACGTTGTTCCACTCCTCCGTCTGTCATACCGACTCATACATGATGCAGAAAATTATATTTTGATAACCATATACGTAGATAAAAATTATGTTCTTCATACATGTATGAAATCTTACAGATTTCGAAATGACAAGAGACTAATTTTCTGCAAACTAGATGTCATGATGAACGATGGAAATATTTAGATCCCAAACAAGATGAATTTTTGGTTCTACAGCATTTAAATGTGAATAAATCTTTTGTGTATCGTACCATCGTTACTTTGATACTGGTAGCGTAGCCCGACGTCGAGGAAGTGGACAGAAGAAAACAGCAACATCAGCAGAAATGATTGGAAAAGTAAAGATGCGACTTGATCGAACCCCGCGTCGCAATGGCCCAAAAATGACTCGTGAGCTGAACACATCGCAATATTCCACTCGCAAATATTAAAAAAAGATTTTGAGGTAAAGCCATTGAAATTCCGAAAAGTGCGAGAACTTGCACCGCAACAGAAAGAAAATAGACTCAAAAGAGCTAAAAAGTTGCTTCGCTTGGCCGAAAGTGGTGAACTGAATTTGGTTTTCTCCGATGAGAAAATATTCGTTGTCCAGCAGTTTGTAAACAAACTAAATGATCGTGTTTACTTGCCAAAGAGGTCAGCTGAAAATGTGCACCTTTGGTTGGCCACCAGAACTCAAGCGTCGACCATGGTGATTGTGCAAGCCGCTATAACAGCACATGGTCGCTCTCTGCTCATATTAATCGATCGTGGCATCAGAATAAATGCCGAATATTATCCCGAAAATATTCTGGAGGGTGTATTAAAGCCTTCCGCACGCAAACATTTTGGCCGCAGACCTTGGGCATTCCAACAGGACTCAGCACGCCCCACCCAAGAATGATTACAAAATGAGGTTCCTCGCTTCATTTCAAACGCGCAATGGCCACCAAAATCTCCGGATACCAATCCGTTGGACTATTGTTTATGGAGTGTTTTGGAAAGCAAGGTTGACACTAAACAAGTAAAAAAGCTGTAAGTTCGGCCGTGCCGAGCTTTTAATACCCTCCACCATTTGGCACAAATTTGGCAATTTCCAAAAAGGAAAAAAATAAAATCCGTTAAAAATTCTGTTAAAATCTTAAAAATACCGAATGCCTATACGACGACGTGGACCTGCATAGGCAACTTTTGACAAAAGGTATAACAATATTTAAATGCGAAACTTGAAGAAAAATCTGTTTATAATGTAGCTAAAATCATCAAAATACCGAACATAGGGGGTACTGTTATATGGGGGCTATACGAAGACGTGGACCTGCACAGACAATTTTCTAGCATGGGATGAAGTATCTATTACGAACTTCGGTACGGTATATGGTATGGTATATGGGGGCTATACGAAGACGTGGACCTACATGGCTCATTTTCTGTTTTATGCTGCACTATCTATTACGAACTTCAAATACCAAATTTGGAACGATTCCGTTATTTAATGTCGCTAAAATCATCCAAATACCGAATATCGGGGGGTACCGTTATATGGGGGCTATATGATAACTTGGACCTACATGGCCCATTTACGAACATAACCTTCCTACAGGCAAAATATACATGTGTGCAAAATTTTAGCCTTCTATCTCAATTTGTTCGAAAGATAGCGTGATTACAACAGACAGACAGACACACAGACAGACAGACGGATATGGCTAAATCGTCTTGGAATTTTACGCTGATCAAGAATATATATACTTTGTTGGGTCTGACATCAGTATTTCGAGGAGTTACAAATGGAATGACAAAATTAATATACCCTCCATAGTATGGTGGAGGGTATAAAAATACCAAAGTGTCGATCACCCCCAGCAAGTGCTGGGAATGGGCCAAATACCGCAGAGCAACATTCGGGCAGCGTGTGACGGTTTCATTGGCCGTTTGAAGGCCATAATTTGTGCCAAAGGTTACCAGTTCCAACAAATTTAAGCTTGTTCTAAAATTTGATGATATTTCCGACTTTATTTTGCCGACATTGCTTGCTTTAAAAAAAAATTGAAAAATTTTGACGTTTGATTTTGTTGCCGTTTTTTATCCCACCTTGTATATAATTTTAACTTCCATAAAACGCGAAATTATACACCAGAATACCGACTAAAACTTTCTGGCGTGTCATGATTGACCCATTTAATCAATTTTAAGGAATGTTTTCAAAGGGGTTTGGAATCTCCTTTCATATTTTTTTTACAGAAATCTTATTTAAAACTCACCTTTTAAAATCGAGTCAGCATCTGCAGAAAAGAAAAAAAATATGAATTATGAATATGAGTTAATACATATAAAAATATTATTTAAAAATAATAACCGTAAAAATAATTGATAATAATAGATCATCTATTAAAGGAAATTTTAACTGTAAAAAATGTAAATACGTTAATTAATTAGCGTATCTTAAATTGAAAACCATTCATCTGTACCTGTTTAATAATTATTTAATTTACCCGAATTACGAAGGAATTCCACCAATTCCATTTTCAAAATTTTCCGCTCGAAAAAGTTCCAACCATAGTTTTCTTTTTTTGGCATTGTTTTTATAATTTTTCTCAACGTAATTCCCATACTCACCGAAAGGAATCTCCTCTATCCGTTCATTTAACATTCTCTCTCATGGAGCAAAGTTTTGGCTGTATGTATATGTGTTTGTCATTGTTTTCTTCGTAAATCAGATTTCAGCAAACAAGAAAATTTAATTATAAAAAGCTTTTAAATGGAATTATGACATGATAAACCTGACCCAAATACTCGTACATGTGGAACAATTGCTGCTGATGTTCCTGCTGCGCTGCAGATGCAAACCATAGTGGTGGCTGCCGAACGACATGTGTGCTGGCAAATTTATTTTGGTTTTCATCACAACTTTGAAATCCATCACCATCATCAGTATCTGGGAAAAAATTTAAACAACCAAAACATTGTTTTTTTTTTTCTATTTTTTATTCAACCACTGAATTTGTTGGATGTCAATACTTAATGGAATATTTTACCATAGAAATCAGTTTTGGGAAAACTATGGTGTTTTCTACGTGCATATATACATGCATATAAAAATATATTCATAAAATTATAGATTACAATTAATTTAAAACATTTTGAAAAAGGTCGCAAAAAAACAAAGTACTTGTACTCATAAAAATTATAATATTGCAATGTAGGATTAATAAGAAGACTTCAGACTTATTAAAAAGTCAAAAATCGGTTATTTCAAGAAGGTTTCCAAAATCATAAATTTACGATACAAAGGAAAAACTAAAAATCAAGGGCCTAAAAATTTAAAAACATTCACGATTTTTGTCCACAAAAAAGGAGACTTAAAAAAACACGATTTTGTTTAAAAAAATTTAAGTCCTCAAGCTCTAAAGAAATCTAAAGAATGATTAAGCAAGAAGGTTTCAAAAATTGAAGGTTCCCAAAATCATTAAAAAAACAAAATCCAAAAATGTAAGATCACTTCGAAATCCACGATTTAAATCATTCGAAAAGGTTAAGGAGACTTTAAATATTCGATAATTGAGGTTATAAATTCTTAAAGACCTTCTCTTAACAAGATAACTTTCTTAAATACATTAAAAACTCAATATTTAAATTTTATAGGATAGTAAAAAAAGACAGTTAAGACCTAAACGACGGCATTAAAAACCCCTAATAGAGGTCTAAGGAACCAGAAAAAGTCCACCCACGACAGCTTTAAAAAGTCCTTAATGAGGTCTTAGGAATCGGAAAAGTCCACCTATTTGTAATGCTTACAAAATTAAAACAAAAATCCATCATTTTGTATAAAAAATTGTCTCTACTTTAAGATGTGACCAATAGTCCCTGATTTAATTCCTTCGAAAAGGTCTCAAGAGTATATATAGAATAGGAATATAAAGAATAGGTTAAGCAACAAGCTTTTAAAAACCTCTTTAATATATCCACATTTTAGGCTCCACAAGTAGCCTTATTATTTTTTATACCTCCAGAATTTTTCGTCAAGAGAAAGCTCTTCAAGAGGGCATCAAAATGTAAAAACAAAACGATTCAAATGCGTCAAGAAAAGAAAAGTGTAAGAAAAATCCATGATTTTGGCCTCTACAGGAATGACCTTTCGGAAGATTTCGAAAACTCTTTAAGAAACTATACACTGTTTGAAAACTCCACAATAAGGTTTTATGTTCCCAGGTTTTAAAAAGATCACAATTTATAACCTTCAAAAATGCTTCAACATTCCACGAATATATGTCTCAAGAAGGTCCTTTAGGATTTAAGCCAATCAAGAATTCTTCCAAAGGTCCTTTTAAAGTCCACCGGGTGCGCTCTTCAAAAATGCGATCTAAAAATTTACGGTTTTGTTCCTTGCAGAAGACTTCAAAAGGTTTTTCAAAGTGCCAAAGATTTTGCTCCACAGAAAGATGGTTAAAAATCCACTTTATGGTCTCTTAACGAAGACTTCTTCGAGGAGGCTTAAAAAGATCGTAAAAAATCCTCGACGTGGGTTCCTTAATAAGAAGAGGTCTTAAAACATACACGATTTTGATTCTTCCAGCTTAAGAAGAACTTTAAAAAATCCACGATTTGGGCTCTTCAATAAGGCTTATGAAGAGGTCATAAAAAATACACGATTTAGGTAAGAAGGATGTGGGTTCTTCAATAAAGCTTAAGAAGAGGTATTAAAAAAATACACGATTTCGGTTCTTTCAGCTTAAGAAGAACTTTAAGAAATCCACGATAAGGCGTCTTCAGGAAGGCTAAAGAAGTTATTTAAAATATCCACGATGTGGGGTTTCCAATATGGCTAAAGAAGTTCTTTAAAAAATCCACGATTGTAATCCTGGCAGAAGGTTTTAGGAGGTCTTAAAAAAACCACGATTGCGATCCTGGCAGAAGGTTTTAAGAGGTCTTAACAAATCCACAATTTTGGTCCTTTCCTCTTAAGAAGGTTTTCGAAAAATCCGTTATGTGGGTTCTTCAAGAAAGATTATGAAGATCATGAAAAATCCACGATCGTGATCCTGGCAGAAGGATATAGGAGTTCTTAAAAAGCGGAAAATTTTGTTTTTAAAAAAACTTTAAGAAGTCTTTGAAAAATCCGTGATTTTGGCAGAAGGCTTTATGCGGTCTTTAAAAAAATTACTTATATTTAAAAATGGATTCTAGTTTTTTTTAAAAATACTTGAAATACAGGTCTTTCAAAATTCAGGTTTTGTTTTTTTTTTTTTTTTTCAAAAATTCAGAAGATGTTTCAAAATCTACGATGTTAGTTCGAATAAAAGGACTTAAAGAAATCCAAGATTTTGTTCGTGGAATAAGTTCTATAAAGAACTAAATTAAAACTAAATAAGTAAAAACCATTAACTTCGGCCGGGCCAAACTTTTACTACCCTCCACCTTAGGGTAAGGGAAACATAAGAACCCATTTTGACCCACAAATAATAATTTTTAGACATATTCATGGCAAAATCTGCCGAAAATCATCAAAACACCGAATATCGGGAAATACGGCTATATGGGGCTATACAAAAACGTGGATCTATACATACAATGTTTTGCCAAAGGAGCTAGAATCCATTAGGACCCATAAATACCAATTTTTAGACAAAACCGCGAATAAATTTGTCAAAAACCATCAAAATGCCGAACATCGGGAGGTACCGTTATATGGGGGCTAGTACTTATTATGACCTACAAATACCAATTTTCCGACAAATGCGTGAAAAAATGTGCCAAAAATCATCAAAATACCTAATATCGGGGAGTACCGTAATATGGGGACTGTACCAAAACGTGAACCTATACATACAATGCTTCGCCACACGAACTAGGACCCATTATGACAAATACAAATACTAATTTTCAGACAAATCCATGAAAAAATGTGGCAAAAATCATGAAAATACCGAATAGCGTGAGGTACCATTGTATGGGGACAATACCAAAACGTGGACCGATATATCTCATTTTTAATGAACCAACCAACCATCCTAGACACAATACAAATTGCTCTACGTCAAATAATGTGGCTCTACGTCAAATAATGTGGACTTTATCGTGATTTCAACAGACAGACGGACATAGTTAAATCGACGTAGAATTTTATGCTGATTATGAATATATATGCTTCAATAACGCTTCAGATGGTCTTTAGAAATTAATGATTTATGTCCTTTAAGAAGGCTTTAGGTCAGGAGTCCTTCGAAAATCTACCAAATAGGTCCTTTCAAGAGGTCTTTCAAAATTCACCAAATGGGTCCTATAAAGAAATCTTCAAAATATCGGAAAAACCACATTTGATATTATTCAAAATGTCCTTAAACATTCTACAATTTATGCTCTAGAGGAACTGTTTAAAGAACATTAAAATTAAGGTCTTTCAAGTACATTTAAGAAAGAATTAAACAAATGGGCACTGAAGAAGACTTCAATTGGACTTTAAATAGGTGAGCGTTTTGTGTCCTTGCGGAAAGATTTAAATCTACGATTTATTTTTTTAGTCCCTCTTTAGTGAATGCAAATGAAAGCAAATTTTCTGCAGAAAGTCATCAAAAAATCTACAAATATAGAGATTTCAAGGAGTCTTCAAAAATTGAATATTTATGTCCTTCCGGGGAATACAAATGATTTTTTCAGTTTTTAAAAACATTAAAGAATAAGTTTATTAAATAATACCTCAAAAATGTGTCCTGATCTTTCAAGGAAGCAATAATAATTTCCAAAAATATCCACCATTAAGGTTCTTCAACAAGGCATCAAAAAGGCTTTGAAATCTGTTAGTTAGGTCCTGAGTTTAAAATTCCAAAATAGATCCGTTCCAGAATATTTGAAAGAGAATTAGGGAAATATGCAAACATTTGTAAGAAAGTCATTGAAGAGTCCACAAAGAGATCCTTCAAAAATGTCTTAAAGAAATTTTAATGTGCATTGCTTTAACAACTTAACTTCTTCTCGTGCCAAGAGTTGTGGCTATTAGAACTGGTCGATTTAAAAAAAAATGTGAGTTTGCTTGGCAAACGCATGAACACATCTACGAGGTATTTCAAGGAGGCATCAATAACTCCCAAAAAATCTAGCATTTAGAATCCTTAACAAAACGTCAAAACCCTTCAAAATATGCGAGTAAGTACCTGAATTTAAAATTCCGATATTGGGGCCTTGCCGAAGATTTGAAAGATAATTGAGGAAATATGCATATATTTTTAGGAATCCTTGATATGAGATCCTTCAAAAATGTCTAAAAGGATTTTTAATGTGTTTCGTT